ACTTCTAACCCTAGTTACTACACAAAGGCTCTATCTCTAAATAGCATCATAGTTGGGGTTAGGACTTCAGCATATACATTTTATGGGGGAAAACAGTCTATATTAACCCCCAAAATGGATTGAGACTTAGAAAAAGGCCTACAAGATACATTTCTAGCATACGTGGGGAATTAAATATTCCATTTGCTAAATACTAATTGTTAGATAACTTGATGGCTCTTTTAAACCAAGGTATCTATACTCATGTATATGAAAAAATAATGTACATATAAGAAAATATTTGAAGCAATCAGATGAATATTTTTTATTCTAAGAAAATCTTTGTATAGGCTTTATTAAACTTTCAATTTGAGTATTGATTATCTTTGATACATATTTGATAATTCAGTTGGTATTTTTTGATCATAGAGATGTTTTATCCAAAAAACTCAGAAATTTGTCTGGTTATTCATCTACTTCCCTTTTATATGTAGAAAGCTTGAGATCAAGACTGGGCTGAGGGGGAACCAGCAGTTAGCCTAATGGCTATGTCGCTGGACTCCCATGTAGTCGACCGCGGTTTGTGTCCTGGCCCCGGTGGCTTAAAACTCACGCTGGGTGCATGTGCTTGCGTGCCCAAGATCCCGAAAGGAGAATGGAGGAGAAGGGATTGCGGCATGGCCATCCCCCCTGGGGGGTGATTTCTCGCTTTCTGTCTCTATGTCTGTCTCTGTCTGTCTGGCGAGTGCACGCGCCCTATAGTGAAAACTTCTCCAAAAAAAAAAAAAAAAAAAAACGACTGGGCTGAGGAAATTCATGGTAATCTGAAGGATCTCCCTAGTTCGGTTCTTCTCTGTCCAGACATACAAACTGCATACTCAAAGATGACCTAATCTACCACTATATAGTGCTACACTTTGAGACATATGCAATTTCATGCTATACAGACAGTGCTTCAGTATATAGTGCATGCATCTGCCTACGTAGGCTCTGTGTCTCTCCAGGCTACTGTCATTTTCTCTCTAGAACTGCCTTTTTTAAAAAATGAGATTTTTGTTAAAGGCACGTGCACTCGTCAGAGAGGCAGAGAGAGAAAACAAGAAATCATCCCCCGGGGGAGGGCCATGCTGAAATCCCTTCTCCTCCATTCTCCTCTAGGGATTTTGGGCACACACACACATGTGCCAGGTGTGAGGTTTAAGCCACCACAGTTGACTACGTTGGAGTCCAGCAGTGTAACCATTATGCCATCCGCTGGTCCCTTTAAGAGAGATTTTTGCTATAGGGTGTGTGTGCTTGCCAGAGAGATAGAGACAGAAAGTGAGAAATCACCCCCACCCCCCAGGGGGGATGGCCACGCTACAATCCCTTTTCCATTCTCCTCTCAGGATCTTGGGCGCGCACGCACACATGCCCAGTGTGAGTTTCAAGCTGTTGGGTCTGGGACTCAAACCATGGTCGGCCATGTGGGAGTCTAGTGATGTAACCACTATGCCATCTGCTGGTCCCAGTCTCTATAACTGCTTTAACCCCAGGAAAACTCAAATATGCTAAAGGTGCTAACAGAGTTCCTCATGTATAATAGGTACTTATTTCAGGTTGACTTCTCTTCCATGTTTCTCTGAAGTAGCTTTGATAGAGTGGAGAGAGAAGCAGTGGTGTAGATCTTGCCTAATAGAGTTGTAAAATAGTTTATTTGATAAAATAAATTTGAGAAAATAAATTGAAGTCAGCTTAACATGATTCCTAGCACACACCAATGCCAAATAAATATTCTTTCTTCTCATTAGAGCTAATATGTTGAATTGTTCAGGATTTTACCCTTTAGGGCCACCAAGTTAATGTATTCAGTTCTATTCTAAGTCATTTGTCTTCTGGAGTGATTAATAAATGGAAAAAGGAGTAGAAGAGAAGTAAGAGGAATAGTTTGGAAAAGGCGGGCCTTTCACAACTTCTTAAAAGTCACACTGTATAGGTCTGTCTTCTTCAATCTCTAACTAGGGCTGGAGCCAAAGCACCTTTTTATTTAGTTAGTTAAAAAATGAGGACCACATCTCCCAATATCAGATTTTCAAGAAATATCCATTATAATGTGTTTCAGCAGAGGCTAATAATATGCCTCATTATCTTTTCAGGTGGTAACTATTCAGTAATAAATGTAGATCTGACGGGGGACATATTAATGTGAGTGCATTTGAACTGAAGTGGGCAAAGACATGGTGCACCTTCCTTTATTAGATCTGAATGATGTAAAACGGGAGCCAAGAGCAAGTTCCCAAAAGACTATGCATTAGAGAGTTGATAGCGTTGGGTTATTGAGTTGGATATGGGTCTTTTAGTGACCATTTAGGAAGCAGTGGGCTAATATTTTGTAATTGATTTCTCCCTCTAGATTTGATTCTTTGATCAGGGAGTCATGCTTATTTTCCTTGCTATAAGTTAATAGTGTCATTCATAGTGGGATTGTAAAGTTAAATTAAATGTTGAGTAATGCTTTTAGTTTATCTGATTTATCTTTAGTTTATACTAGACCTGACAGTATAGTGTGTAAAAGTACAGTGAATCAATTGTGTATTCTAATTTAGAAAACATTTGGTTTTCAGATTTGTTTATTTCTTTAACCTTTTTATTGGTGCCTAAGTGAATCTCTTAATGTCTACAGTGCTTAGTATAACCATAGCAATGTTGGCTAGACCAGTGTTGCTTTATCTAGTTAATCTCAAAGAGCTTTAGTCTTTGAACCGTTTTAAGAAAGTTCTACAGAGATGAGGTCAGTAAGATATGATGTACCTCTTTAGGACAGAACATAATCAAAGCTTCATTTCTTTAAATTAGGCAGTTTAACAGTACAATGGTTGACCTGGTTTTGATCAATTTTTTTTTTTTGGTGCCTTGTGAAAGTTAAGAGGAACTATAAACTAGTAATTAGCTAATTTCTTTTAAAGTTTATTTATTTTTCCCATGAGAGAGACAGAGAGAACCAGCGTCTGCAGTAGTCTTGATGTCACAGTACACCTTCGGCTTTAGCTAGCCTTGGGTCATGAGTACCTGTGTATTTGGTCTACTGAGGGAGGTCTCCTGACCTGAATCTGGAACCTTTCCATGGGGTTCACCCTCGCAGATTGTTGTGTTTCACTGTTGCATTATTGTCAGGCTCTTATAAATTAGTCTAAAAATAGCAAACCAGGGATAGCAAACCAGCAGGTGGCACAGTGGTTAAAGGCACTGGAGTCCCACATGGCTGACTGCTGTTTGAGTCATGTACTAGGTGGCTTTCTTTCTTACTGTCTCTCACATGCTCTTTCTGGGTTTCTGGTGAGCATATGTGCTATATAGCAAATTAAAGTAACAATAATAATAAATAAAATTAATCTAAAAATTTAAATAAAATAGCAGGCCATTTCTTATTCATATCAATTTTTATATTTTAAATATCAGTTAAACTATAACTGTAGGGTACGCATGAACAAAATAGGTAACGCTAGTCTATGTTATAGGTAGTAGGGTATACATTAAAAGATCTTTGCTTGGGGCCAGCAGTTAGCGTAATGGCTATGTCGCTGAACTCCCATGTAGTCAACCACGATTTGAGTCCTGGATTCGGTGGCTTGAACTCACGCCGAGTGCATGTGCGTGCATGCCCAAGATCCTGAGAGGAGAATGGAGGAGAAGGAATTGTGGCATGGCCATCCCCCCAGGGGGTGATTTCTCACTTTTTGTCTCTCTGTCTCTCTCTGTCTTTCTGGTGAGCACATGTGCCCTATAGCAAAAAACACCTCTCCAAAAAAAGAAAGAAAAAAAAAGGTCTTTGCTTGGGACCAGCTGTTGGCATAATGTCTATGTCACTGGACTCCCATGTGGTTGACCGCAGTTTGAGTCCCGGACTTGGTGGCTTAAACTCATGCCGGGCGCACGTGCGTGCATGTCCAAGATCCTGAGAGGAGAATGGAGGAGAAGGAATTGTGGCATGGCCATCCCCCCAGGGGGTGATTTCTCACTCTTTGTCTCTCTGTCTCTCTCTGTCTTTCTGGCAAGCGCACGCAAAGACCTCTCCAAATAAATAAGTAAGTAAATAAATAAATGATCTTTGCTTTGGGTTAAACTGTTGATGAGAGTTAAATTCACAGGTTAATATGTAGGACAAATGTTCTTTTTATATTGCTCCCAGGAATGTTTTACTCTTTAGAACCAGAGACTAATTTTTTCCTGATATTTTAATTTCAAAGGATTCAGTTTTTAAATTAGGCATTTAAGCACTGAAATCACAAACTGTATCTAGTTTCACAGTTTCCTCTCTACCTAATAAAAATGAAATTTACTGTTTTATTTTTAGGGAGATAGATGGAATATCTAAGTAGCTTCAAATATATCACTAGGGATGAATTTACAATAGATTTTTCTTGAGGCAGTGACTTACATAGCAGTTAGTGGACAGAAGAGAAAAATTTAATTTGGAGCTTATATCTCAAACACTAAATTCAAATTTTACCAAAGAATATTTAAGAAAAAAATTGAAATGGTTTTCATTTGAAGATAATGGAAACATTTAGCCTGAGTGTACAGTTGAAATACTTTCTAGATGAAATTTAATGTATATAGCAATATGAAAATATTATAACTTGCTTTTAGCTATGTTTTTGTTGAAGTAATTGAGACAAATTAAGTGACTTACCATATTATAGTGATACTATCTAGAGTGTATGTCACCTAAGATCGTAAGTAGATCAGGGAAAGGTCAGGAATTAATTATGCTTTTGAACTTTAATATTAGCATAATAAAATAGGTTTGGTAAGTTTTACATCTTCCAGTAACTTCAAACATAAATAGTAAAAAGCCTTCACTATACTTTTTTTTTTCTGCTTTTTATTTACTGTGGGTAAATTTTCCAATGTCTGTTCTTCATCTTTGTATTTTTTTATAACATATAACATCAATACCTACTATTAGCTTTACAAATAAAATATTTTAAAAAAGAATATCAAATTAAAATAAGTTTTAACTGTTGCTCTGTTCTTTTTAGCTTACTTTACCCAGACCTCTTCAATCCATTGAGTTGCAAGCGTGACATTTGCTGTGTTTTCAGCACCTGCCAACTTGGAAACCAGGGTTTGTGCTCAGGACTTAGGCTTACAACCCACACTTTGTGGTGTACAATGCCGCCCCAGCTGGCATGCTTTCGTACCTCAATGGTGCTAGACATTCGGTTACAAAGCTGTGCGGCTTCACATGCACTGATTTCAATAGTCATTTTTCTTCAAACTGCTTTCAACTCTTACTTTGTATGAAGGGAATGAGATGGGTATCATTAAATTCACTGCTGTGGTTATTTTTCAATGAAAATTTGTTAAATTTAGTTTTTGGATCAAAAATAATTTTGTCTTTAAGAAAACTATCTTTAAGAAAAGGCTACATATGTATATAATAGATGAGATTTCAGCTATGGTTATAACTACTTTTCATTGGTGGGGAAAAAAAAAAAAGGAAAGAACAGAAGGATTAGTTTGCTGTGTTTATATAGGTAGGGCTATTAGTTGTAGCTGGAAATAGATGTGGGAATAGTTACAGAACTTTCTGAATACAGCCCACATTTGAAAATGACCCAACATAGATTCAGATTTGTGTCTTCCATCTATATCCAGAGTCTTTCTGTATTTTCCTAAGAAGTATATTTTACTAACTGTTTTTCAATGACCAATCTCTTTGAAAATACTTCAGGTGGATTTGGCGATGTCTGTCTCACCATAATCTATTTTAAGCAATTTTAAAAGGTTCTGCTTTAAAAAAGATCTTTTCAAATGTAGAAAGAACAGTGTGAAATGTGAATGACTGGCTTTTAATACAACAGTTGTGATAAAGAGGCAGTAGCCTTTAGAAATTGAATGAAGGGGGTTAATACACATGCATCTGCATACTGCTCTTGGGTACAATGTATAACGTGTTTGACATTTGTTTAGTTCACTTTGTTAGTCTAGAAAGAATAGTATGTTATTCTCTCTTACCAGTTTATAATATTTTAGTGGGTAGCTCTTTTTATAACCATAGGTACAAATATATTTGATAGGAAAAACTGAGTAACATTTATTAGGACTTACTGGAACTTCAAAGGTTAGCTTTTTGTTGTTTAAACCTCTCATTTATCTGGTTCAAAAGGCATAAAAATAAAACATCCATTAACCACCTAGAACACTCCTTAGTGGATATCAAAAACCCAACCTTTACCCTCCTCTGCACAAATGCGCTTGCTTAGGTGAAAGCTTTTATTAGCTTGTTGATACAAGTTATAGTTGGTTACACCCTTTCTTAACAAAATACACCCTTATTGTCTCCTATTGCTTAAGAGCTTTAAACCTGAAATGGGGGGGCTTTCTAGTATGTAATACTCGGTTTAAATCTCCCCGGCAGTTATGAATGGGTATATGATGCACACGTAAGTGTTCCTTCAGTTGGTAGTCCTCCTTTAGGGGGAGTCAGGAGAACCAGTATTGCTGTATTTTATCTCTGAGTTTCATATTGTTGGGCTTGGAGTAAAGCAAGTGTAAGTAATCCCTGTGTTTTGTATTTCTCAGGATGTTCTGTGGCTTAATCAGGTTAGTGTTGGTTGATGATAATGGAAAAGTTAAACTTGGTTGTTTTTAAATTGTGGATTTAGTCCTGAATTGTTCTGTGAGTTGATGTTTAGGTGTCTTACTCTAAATCTGGTTCTGATTTGGTTTTGAACATTTTGGGTTGAACATAGTAGACAGCTTAGTTCCCTCCCCCTGTATTGCAGCTTATGTAATTTTAAGTCCAGAGTTTATATATACTCTTCTGAATTGAGCAAAGCCCTAATATACAAACTCTTGGAGAAGTTTAAGTTTATTGTATTTATGAGAGTTATTTGTGTGTGTTTGCACGCAAGAAAGAGAGGGGTGAGGGGGAGAGAAAAGCACCATCAATCTGGTCTCATCACAGTGATCTCATCTTCCTTCAGTCCTCCAGGTCATCAGGATCTTGTGTGCTCTCTATGAGCTTCACAACCTCTGCTTGGTCACATGGCTTCCTGCATTGTAACTGTGGTACTAACAGTATTTGGAGAGGATTTTTATAATAAGAACTGTGGAATTTAGCACTAAAAAGTGAGGATGTTTTATATCTGTATCACATCACATGAGAAGAGCCTATTGTACTGAAGGGTAAGTGACACAGGCCTTAAGGTATATATTTTTAGCATTTGGAGATCTGTGTTAGACAATGAGAAATAGCTATTCATTGGTGAGTAGCACAACTCCTGAAGCAGGTATTTTAGTTCTGTACACTTGCAGGAGACCTCAGAACCTGAAAAACAGGCTGCTTTAGGTTGAAAAGGAGATGGTATAGCAAAGGAGCCGGCTGTAACCACCATCTTTGAAATTTTGTGAAACAAAAATCTTCCTGAAAGCAAAAAAAAAAAAAAAAAAAAGTTGCTATAATTGTTTCCAGGCTCAGGCCCCCTGAATACTGTGTTT